TGATTTTCACTGATAGAACAGATGTCATCTCCATTTTATCACTGACAATGAAAACTAGGGCTGGTTGTAGTGGCACACACCTTTAATCCCTCAGGTATGAATTACTTATATAGAAAACTGTCTGGGCTCTTGGCATATTTTCTAATGTGGAAGATGTTTGAAGTACTCCTAAAATGTAGGAGATTGAAAGTATTGCTGCCATATTTACAGCCCTGAGTATATTTACTGTTGGTTTTCCATATTAAAAGGTTCAGTATCATTCAGAATCTTAGTTATTAATGGAGTCAGCTCATTTGTTCTGTTGATGATATACCTGTGCCCAGTGTACTTTAATGTTAAAATACAACTTGAGGCATCCTGTAATCCCAGCACTCTGGAGTTGGAGGTAGTAGGATAAAGAAATTCAAGATCATTCCTTGGCTGCGTATAGAAGTTCAAGACCAGCCTGAAGAGACCCAGTTTCAAACAAGCAAACCATATCTGGGCATGGTGGTGCACACCTCTCATCACGGCACTCCAGAGGCAGAAGCAGCGGGATCTCTATGAGATCAAGTCCAGCCTGGTCTACATAGTGAGTTCCAGGCCAAGAAAAGAAAACAACTTTAACATTCAAATAGTTAACCTGAAGAATAAGGTGATGAGGTCTTCAGGGCTGTTTTAGTGTTCTCTACTTTTCTATATATTTGAGATTTTCACTGAAAACAGCCAAAGAAATAAACCCTCCAAAAACATTCAAGAGAGAATGCCCCAAGGCAAACCCAACTTCCTCAGTATTGAAAGTCACAAACAAAAAAGGGTTTTACTTACATGATAGTGTTCCATATACTAATTTCAAACATCTTCAGCACCAGTGTTCAATACCTTGCAAAACTCTTTCGAGCCAAAAAAAGACAGTCTTAGTTTATAATTTACAGGTGCTCCTTTTTATGTTTGCAAAGTTGGTTATGAACCCAAGTTCACCAGTGATCTAGAGAACAAAAAACGATGTAGAGAACGCACACACTATCTTCAGGTCATAATTGCTTCTCAGTATATTTTGTGTACCGTTTGACATGGAGGTTGTTTTCCCTTGGCAATTAAGATTATTAAAAAGTATATCAACAATAAAATGTGTAATTTATTTGTTCAGGTGGACATATTTGCCGTCTCTAGAAGTTCTCATGTATATAAAATACATGTAAAGTGATAGGGAGATAATAATTGTTCCTTTATTCTACTAGAGTGAATTCCCCCAAACGGGATTGAGTAAAAGGATAACATCGTTCTCCTTTAGATTTTTAATTGTGTTAATGTGTGTGTGTGCGCACGAGTCAGGTGTCTGATGAGTGCAGAACGGGATGTCCAGTCACCCGGATCTAGAGTGGTGGTTGTGAGCTACCCAGTGAGGGTGCTGGAACAGAAGGTCCTCTGCAAGAGCAGGACATGCCCTTAACTACTGAGTCATTTCTCTAGCCCCCAAAAGATTGAAAGTTCTAAGGTTCTTGCCAAAGTGCCTTCCAGAAAAATGGTTACCAATTAAAAGCTTTAAACTCCCAACCCATTTTTTTCTCATAACAGTTTATATAAAAGTATAGGGGCCAGCAAGGTGGCTTACCAGGTGAATGAACTTGCCACCAAACCTGACAACCTATGTTTGATGCTAGGAACCCACGTGTGGAAGGAGAGAATTGGCAATGACCTTCCTACATATGCACACACACTAAATACATACAAAAGTACAAGAGCTGTAAAGATGACTCAGTGGTTAAGAATATTTGCTCTTGTAAAGGATCTGGTTTGGCTCCCAGCACCTAGCTCACAATGGTCTGTAACTCCTTTCAGGGGATCCTACACCCTCTTCTGACCACCTTAGGCATGCATGTGATGCATATATACACATACAGCTGAAACACTCATACACCCAAAATAAATCTTTAAAAAAAAAATTTTTTTTTAAGAGATGGGGCTGAAGAGATGGCTCAGCAGTTAGAGCACTGGCTGCTCTTGCAGAGGACCGAGGTTCAATTTCCCAGCAACCACATGGTGGCTAACAACCACCTGTAACTCCAGTTCCAGGAGATCAACACCCTCTTCTGGCCTCCACAGGCTCTGCATGACACTTGCATGCATGTAGGCAGTACAGTCATACACGTAAAATAATTATACTTAAAATAAATAAAAAAGATCCATTTTTAAGTACTAGCTATTTTTAACTCAAAAGTCCATCAAAGGCCAGGCTTCGTGGGTCATGCCTTTAATCCCAGAGGCAGGTAGACCTCTGGTGAACCTCAGTCTCCATTACAGCCATCTCTTAAGCATATAGGCATACATGAAAAAAGTTTGAGTGCACCCATACCAGTTTAACATCTACAGCAAATGATGAGACTGGTGCGTGGCGTAATGTGCTAAGGAGGCACTTAAATAAGCAAGTTCGTTTCATCTCGACTTAAAGACATTCAAATGTCAGCTTATTTTTTTCCACCTAAGAAAGCCTAATTCTTAAGATTCCTCATAAAACTAAGAACATTATGTAAAATGCTGGAGGCCAGTTATCATTTCTCTGGCTTTGTGTTTCACTTAGAAGATATTATACTCGTTTGTTCACCCATTTATATTATTTTTGTTTTTAGTGTGTGCGTGCGTGTGTGTGTGTGTGTGTGTGTGTGTGTGTGTGTGATGTGCATAGACATGCATATGGAGATCTGAGAACAACTTCGTGGAGTGGGTTGTGTACATTGAGTTCCATGGATCCAGCTTCAATCATCAGGCTTGCATGGCAAAGGCTTTTACCCTCTGAACCATCTTGCCAGGCTGAAAATTGTCATTTTTTGATCAATCTTGTTTTCTGTTCCTTACATTGTAATTTGTTCTTTGAGTCCATGTTTTTCAAAAAGGGCTTGCCATTTTTTAAATTTCTTTAATGTATTTAACAGGTGGGGGCAGGGGCTGCTCCGAGGTTAGATGACAGCTTGCCGGAGTCTGTTCTTTCCTTCTGTCTTGTGTTGAGGATCCAGCTGAGATTGTTGGCTTGCAGGCACGCACCCTTAGCTGCTGAGCCATCTTGCCAGCCCGAGCTTTGTTTTTGTTTTTTTTTTGTTTTTTTGTTTTTTAAGACAGGGTCTATGTAGCCCTGGCTGGCCTGGAACTTGCTATGTAGACCAAGTTGGCCTCAATCTCAGAGAGATCCTCCTGCCTCTGCTTCCCAAGTGCTGGGATTAAAGGCCTGAGATACCACAACTGCTCCCTTTAAAAAAATTATCTGCATTTTCTAAAAATCTGTAGTTTGTGAGTAAATTTGTGACTTTCATGAACTCACAGAGATCTGCCTGCCTCTGCCTCCAGAGTGCTGGGATTAAAGGCACTACCACACCTGGCTTGTAGTCAGATTTTTAAAGCTGCCATTCAAAGCCCTCATGTAACAGGTAGAGCAGATGACAGAAAACAAAACAGCCTTTCAGAAACCTCCTTAACAGTGCCACCTCTGCAGTTGTGGTTTGCAGAGATGGTCTCATTCAGTGTGTCCTATCCACCCTTGTGGGTCTCCTTTGTTCCATGATGGCACAGGGACATTACACTTTCTGTGCAGCTTGGTCATGCTGCAGATACAACAGATAAATATGCTTTAACATTTGTTTGGTAAGGTTTATTTCTGTTAAAACTTTGTTCAGGGATTGTTATAGGTGTATCTACTTGAAAATATATTAAAATCTCAACACGATACTGATGAAGCTTGGTAAGCACAGGGCATTTAGCCAGAAGGCATTTCTTCTACATCACCTTAGTAATAAATAACTGCTAGGAATCTCTAGCGTGAGACCTGAATGGAAAGGCTTATTTTTAAAGTCCTAATATGGGGTTGGAGAGATGGCTCAGCGGTTAAGAGCACTGACTGCTCTTGCAGAGGAGCTGGGTTCAGTTCCCAGCACCCACAGGGTGGCTACGAACTGTCCTTAACTCCAGTTCCAGGGGAATCCAAAACCCTCTTCTGACCTCCGTGGCATTGCACGACACAGGTGCACTCACATAGACACAGGCAATATACACTCATACACATAAAATAAAAATAAAATAGTTAAAAGTCCTAATACATAGTTTTACCTTAAGCCATACTAGGTCTTTCAGACAGCTGTTGCATCAGGTGTTATCGTGAGAGGACTTGTTAGATAATACGAAGGCACAGAGATGAAAAAACCCTGCTTGAAGATTGCTACAGAAGTCCTGCACTTGGCAGCGACGGACAGAAATATTTATATGACAGTTCCTCCTGGGACTAGAGTGGCAAGAAGTCATGCAATCATTTCTCCCTACTTGAAGGAATTTTTCAAGCAAGGGCTCTAATACTCTCAAGTATCAGTGACTATGGAGACTTAAAGCCTTGACTTGTGTTTACTCAGGCCCCTGCTGTCTTTGACCTTTTCCCCATTCCTCTGCCTTTGTGAATGGTTCATTCCGATATCACAGGTGACATGTGTCTTGTCACCAATGTTCATGATGCCTGTGGTGCTGCCATTTGCTCTCTATGCACACTCCCTGGCAACCTTGTCTACATGTTCCTAAGTCAGTTCTGGCCTAGGTCACCAAGCTGAACTCAGAGTCTGTACACTTTCATTACCACAACTCTTAGACCTTCAAAGCAATCTCTTCCTGCTTTGTAAATGGCACTACTGTCTAGCAACTCAGTCAGGTCAAAACCAAGAACGGTACTTTCCTGCTTTGGCCTCTGTGTTGGGATTACAGATGGGAAGCACCACACTGGCTCTATAAAGTGCGTTAATAAGTGCAGCCATGCTAAACTGTTAAATTGTTCACCCAAACTGAACTAAATAATCCAGAAAAGGCCTGAAGTTTAAATGTATTCTGTTCATACAAAACTGCTAACTAGTTACTTTGCATATCTATTACCACTTTCTGTGGTTAGGAAGAAAATATGAATTGCTGTTTTACTAACTGGGTCTTTGAATAGCAGGAGCACAAATCACAGGATTCTCAAAGTACTTATAACCATAAAGCAAACCAGAAACTGGAGAAAACCGGCAAATGCGTCAGGTTTAATAAAACAAGAAAAGAGTTAAAGTAGCTACATCTTTTCCTTCTTGTGAATCTCCCCAACGTCCAAATCCTTTCTTGTTAAGTCTGAATAGTCCTAGTTGGTTTGGTCAAAAATTGAACTCAAAGGTGTTGATTATAATTCAGAGAGATACAAAACTCAGCACCTCTTTAATTTAAAAAAAGAAAGAACAAACTTGATTTTTAAAAACATATTCATAGCTGCCTGAAGAGGAGATCTTGATCCTTCCACTTGAATAGATAACCCTCGCCACCAGTAGGCCATTTGGATTAGAACCAAAAGGAGTCCATTACTCATTCCCTCTCCGGCTCTTCTTGTGGCTTTTCTTAGACCTGAAATGAAACAGGTACAAATTAGTAAATTAAGGAGCAGATAAGGAAGATGATTATGATAGGATGACCCTGATGAATAGATGATGTCAATATGAGATATACTTTGGTGGGGGGCTGAGATAGGATCTTACCATGTAGTCTTTGCTTAGAACTCATCATGTACATAAGCCAAGAGAGCCTTCAACTCATGGTAATCCTCACAGAACTTCTGTCTCTCCAGTGCTGGGAATACAGATGTGTGCCACCACACCTAGCCCAAATTTGTGTGTGTGATGTGCATGCTTTTATGCATGTGCACATGCATATATATGTGCATGTAGAGGCCCAAAGTTGAAATTGGATGTCTTCCTTGATCCCTCTTCACTTTACTTAGGTAGAGTATGCTAGTTTTTCTTTTTCATTTTTTAAAATAACCCCAGCTGGCCTGGAACACTATGTAGTTCAGGCTGGCCTTGATCTCACAGGGATCTGCCTGCCTCTGCCTCCCAAGTTAAAGGCGTGCACCACCATGCCTGGCTTGCTGGTTAGTTTTTATCAACTTGACACAACCTAGAGTCATGTGTTAAGAGGAAACCTCAAGTGAGGAGTGTCCAGATCAGACTGGCCTACAGCTCAGTCCACTGTGGGCAGCACCATCTGGGTCTTGGTGTGGGCTAAAAGCCAGCTGAGCATGAGCCAGGGAGCATGGCCATAATTAGCTTTCCTCCAATGTTCTGCCTCTGCTCCTGCTTGAGTTCCTGCCCTGACTTCCCTCAGTGATGGACTATGACCTGAAAGTATAAACCGAAGTCAACTTTTTCCTCCACAAGTTGCTTTTGGTTGTTTATCACAGCAACAGAAAGCAAATTAGGGAAATGGTCTCTCATTTGAACCCAGAGCTCAAGGATCAGCTAGTGAAGCTAGTAGCTATTTTCCCTACAGATCCCATTTCTGCCTCTGGAGTACTGGGATTATAGGTGGTGTCACACCTGTCTTTTAAATGGGTTTTGGGGATCTAAACCACCTTTGTACAGTGAGTGCTTTATTCACTGAGCCACTGAGATCCCTTTCTTAAAAAAAATAAGCCTCAGAGCCACACTCTGGGTAAGGCATTACTGCCTAAATTTGCCACTAAGGAAAGAACCTCTTCACAGGGTAAGAATGTACGTTAATGGCTTATGTCCCACCGGGAATGCTAATGAAAGCTGATCAAATGAAAGTGACTCAACCGTAAAGTTTTTTAAAATCTGGTTCTTGGACTAGAGAGATGGCTGAATGGTTAAGAATGGGTACTGCTCTTACAGAGGACCCTAGTTTGGCTTATACCACCCATATTGGATGGCTCACAACTTCATGTAACTCCAGTTCTAGGGGCATCTAGAAGCCTCTGGCCTCTATGGACACCTTCACTCACATGCATACAGACACAAAACACAAAATTAAAAATAAGTCTAAGCCAGGTGTGGTGGCACATCCCTTTAATCCCAGCACTCGGGAGGCAGAGCAGGAGGATCTTTGAGTTTGAGGCCAGCCTGGGCCACACAGCCAGTTCCAGGCCAGCCAGACTCAAACAACTAACTAATTAATAGAAATAAAAATAAGTCTTAGCCATGTGGGGTGGTGCATTCCCTTAATGCCAGCACTCAGGAGGCAAAGACAAGCAGATCTCTGTGAGATCGAGGGTAGCCTGGTCAGCCAGGTCAGCTGGGGCTACAGGGAGACCCTGTCTCAAAAGGGACAAAAAAGAAATAAAAACAAGTCTTTTCTTAAAACCTAGGTTTTCTGTAGCTCTAGCTCCTCTGATGTCCAAAGCTACAATCCTACAAAGGAAAAAGATCAAAAGAACTAGCGTTCCAGTAATGCCCAGAGCAAAAAGTCCTATTTTGTCTTGTAATGAAGAACTGTTAATATTCACATAAACAAAATTGCAGGACCAACTTAGTTGTAATTGAGACTTTAACTTTTGAATAAAGATTAATTTGTGTGCATGCACGTGTGTGCACATGTGAAGGCTGGGGTCAGTGTTGGTTGCTTTCCTAAATCATTCCACCTTATTTTTTGAGATGCTAAAGCCACCTGATTGGCTAGTCTGGCTGGCCAGCTGAAGGGATTCTCCCTGTGGCTGAGATGACAGGCGCACCTGGCTTCTGCCATCGGTGCTCAGGATTGAACTCAGGCAGGGCAAGCTCTTTACCCAATGAACCATCTCCCCAGGTCAATATTAAATTCTTAAACAGAGAATTCTTGACCCCTACCTTTCAGGAGACTTTGAATGGCTCCTGTGTCTGTGACTACGGTGATGACCTAGGGAAGAAAAGGTCATTGGATGAAACACTCTTACCTCCCTTAATTCCTCTCATTCATGTAATACTTTTTCGGCCTGTTCTGAGGATACCACTTACTGAAAGCACCTCGAATCTGGTATACATTTGGCAGAAAATGCAATAATGGAATCACATATATTCAGACTTAACGGCAAATTTCACAAAACACGACATTGGGTTTTGGACCACTACTGTATTATAATAATTATATTATTATTTTGACCAATACCTTATTCCTGGAATTTCAGATGGAAATCTAAAATCCCATCACCGTATCAGTATGAGTTAAATGTGAACCTCACTTCAAATTCCACGTCCCTCTCCTTTCCTGCTAGGTAGCAGTGCAGCATGTGTCTCACGCTGCAGGAGCTCGGTGCTCCTCTTAGATTCCATTATCAAAACAGAAGCAGCAGAAGGCCTAAATAGTATACCTGGGGATTTAGAACGGGATCTGTGTCGTCTGTCTCGGGACCTGCTTCGATGACGCCTTGGACTCTTGCTCCTATGCCTTTCTCGTCGAGGGGAAGGGCTATGGAAAAGACTGGTCAGCCCAGCAGATGTTTTGCAGTGAACACACCCACCACCTACTTCCAAAAACCTCTCATCTGAAGTAACTAAAGACCCACCTTCTTCTTTTGGGTGATCGACTCCGCCTAGAGAGAGAGGAAGAGAAGAACCTGGATGAGTATACAGGCTAATGTATATTGCAAAAATTAACCTTTGGATCTGTGTAGCAGCTGGGATCTCAGCAGACTGCCAGTTCCCGCCTCCCTCTGGCACAGGGGCTGAGAACTCGGGGGACTGCCTGAGAGCACCCAGATCCTGCCTCTATGTGGTGAAGCCTTTGAGAGGGAACTGATACTGATTCTAACCACTCCAACAGCTGTCAAAATGCCTGAAAGCAAATCCTGAATCCATCACTCTGAAGTCCAGCTTTGGTAGACAAAAGAAAACTGAGGAGGAACCCAATAGAAGGATGCTTTTGGAAGTTCTTGTCAGGAAATTCCGATAGACTCTTAAATGAACATTTGAAATTTGTACTGTTCTGACTTTTTTCTAGTTGCCTGTCTAGAACTTGTAATGCTAATTACTCTTGCCTTTACTTCTCCTTCATATCTATTTGCCAGTCAAGGACTTTCTTTTCCCCCTAGAGGTAAGAGTTATGCAATTTGGGAGTCTTTTAGATAGACCCACTGAAGGGGCACCCTATATCCCTGTTCAGCATGGAAAAAGCCAGAGTGGTCTGCGTACCGATTTCCTATCTGCAAGCTGGGTAACCTCTTCAGAGGATGGTGTGATAAGAATAAGAGGTAGGAATTCACTAGGCAGTTAGTGTTGACCCCAAAGAAAAGTAGCCAGTTTCTTGGCTAAAAGTCAAAATGTCCTTGGGCCTCTTAGCAAAATACTCTGTTCCAAAGGCCAAAAATGTCAGAAGTATTTGTAAACTTTTATCTGATCCTCAAAAGATTTTAGGGTTGGGGCTGGAGAGATGGCTCAGTGGTTAAGAATACTGGTTGTTCTTACAGAAGACCTGGGTTCGAATCCCAGCACCCACATGGCAGCTAACAACTGTCCACCATAACTCCAGTCCCAGGGGATCCCACAGCCTCTTCTGACCTCCGTAGGCATTGCAGGACACGGGTGCACTTACCTACATGCAGGCAAACACATAAAAAGTAGAGTAGCAAAAAGCCCCATTTAAAAAAACAAACAAACAAAAAAAGAGTACATGAAGTTATCAGAATAAAGTGATGGGGAGATATGGGAGGAGTTGGAAGGGAGGGAGTGGGCATGGATTTGATCAAAACACCTTATATGCTTATATCCCTGTATGAAATTCTCAATAAGTTATTTTTTTTTAAATTAACCTGGGGGGTGTGTGGGGAATTAAACACAGTGACCTCTGATTTACTCTTCACTTTCCCTCACATATGTATCATAACTTTTAGCACACTTCTCTTAGAACTCTGGCCACCAAACTTTATTTGGCCAATGAGATATTAGCAAATGTGACAGAAGCAGATAAACTGGAAAAGCACTTGCATGAAAGTACCTGCTGAGGATGGAAGACAGAAAAGCAGATCTCACCATCCTCATTAAGGATACCTACACTGAGTAGGAAACAGTCACAAAACAGGAGTACACATACTAAACTGTGTATCTGAGCCCAGTTTAGTTCACTGGCTGTACACTAATGAATTATATAAATGAGTTGTCTACAGTGAGGGTTTTTTTTTTTTTTTTGGTCTTTTTGAGACAGGGTCTCCCTGTAGCCCCAGATGTCCTGGAACTCACTATGTAGACCAGGCTGGCCTCGAACCCACAGAGATCCGCTTGCCTCTGCCTCCTGAGTGCTGGGATTAAAGGCGTGCGCCCCCACGCCCAACTAGTGAGATTTTATAGGTGGTGGTTCTATGGAAAGCTGATAGGTGATAGACTGGATAAGCATTTCCCCATAGGCTAACATTCTTCCTTCCTTGAAAGCCAAATTCCTGGGTGTAGTATTCAGAGTCTTCCCAGAAGAGACCAACAATTACAGCCTTACCTTCTGGGAGACCGACTCCGGCTCCTCCTGTAGCGCAGGGCCGGAGAGCGCCGGGGCTTGTCCAAGTCTCGGTAGCTTCTTCGGCGGTGATCAGGTGATGGCACTCTTTCCAACTTGAAAGGAGATGGATGAGGCAGTGATGGAAACAGATTTATTTAAGACAACCATGGAAAAATTATAGTCCCTTCCCCATTCTGTTCCAAAGTACATCTCTAATACAGTAATCTGACTATATAGCAGGTAAGCTTTTCTGAAGACAAAAAAAAAAAAAACAAAAAAAACTACTAACAAATAGATCTCAGTAATCTATCAGTAATCTTTTTATTGATACCAACATTACCATCTTGGGACCGTGGAAGTATACTAAGAAATAACAATGCTTACTTCCTTAGGAAACCAGATCTCCAATATGAAAGAAAAGATAGATGTAAGATCAATAATGTTAAATACAAAGTTGTCCTGTATTTTAATCTTCAAAATATTTTCCCCTAGCTCTATCAAAACTGTAGCAACACCCATTTTTATTGATACCAACATTACCATCTTGGGACCGTGGAAGTATACTAAGAAATAACAATGCTTACTTCCTTAGGAAACCAGATCTCCAATATGAAAGAAAAGATAGATGTAAGATCAATAATGTTAAATACAAAGTTGTCCTGTATTTTAATCTTCAAAATATTTTCCCCTAGCTCTATCAAAACTGTAGCAACACCCAGATTATGGTATGTGCATTACATGGCATTACAAGAAATGAGGTATTCTTGAAGAAATGCCTACTTTCAGGCAGGTCTGGAGCAGCGCTATACAAAATGTGGCTAGAACATATGTACCATCATATAAAAAAGCAAGGAAGCTGCTGGACGTGGCACACACCTTTAATCCCAGTACTCGGGAGGCAGAGGCAAGCAGATCTCTGTGAGTTCAAGGCCAGCCTGATCTACATAGTTCCAGGACAGCCGGGGCCACAGGGACTCTGTCTCAAAAAGACCAAAAAAAAAAAAAAAAAAAAAAAAAAAAAAAAAAAAAAAGCAAGGAGGCCTCAAAGATCTATGAATGTATCAAGAAATCCCAGAAGTCACATTGAACAAGGTACCTCTGCTGACCAAAGTTTAAGCATCAACTTAGATAATGATTAAAGCACAATTTGTGTGTTTGTGTGTGTGTGTGTGTGCACGCGTGTGCTGCATCTGTGCTGGGATTATACCATGCCCAGAACCATTTTTTTTTTAATTTTATTATTTTTATTTTATGTGTATCCGTAAGTGCACCCGTGTCATACAGAAGAGGCTGTTGGATCCCCTGGAACCGGAGTTACAGACAGTTGTTAGCTGCCATGTGGGTGCTGGGATTCAAACCCAGGTCTTCTGCAAGAACCACCAGTGTTCTTAACCACTGAGCCATCTCTCCAGCCCCCAGAACCATTTTTAGAACACCTAATGAATCTAGGCATCGATTATCAGTGGATCCTAAGGTCATAAAAAGTGAGCTGTGGCCGGGTGTGGGCGTGCACATCTTTAATCCCAGCACATGGGAGGCAGAGGCAGGTGGATATCTGTGAGTTCAAGGCCAGCCTGGTCTACATAGTGAGTTCCAGGACAGCTGGGGCCACAGGGAGACCCTGTCTCAAAAAGACCAAAAAAAAAAAAAAAAAAAGCAAGACAGGGCCTGCCAGATGGCTCTGTGGGTAAAGGTGCTCACCATCAAGCCTGACAACCCAAGTTCAATCCCCAGAATCCACATGATTTCCAAAACTCTTCTTCTGATCACTACACACGCCAAGGCACGCACGTTCCCAACACACACACACACCAAATAAAAAACTTAAAAAAAAAAAAGAATAAAGTGAGACAGCCAAACTGCATATTCCAGGGGTATACACAGCCACTCCTGTGAAGTAGTGTGCTGCTCTATTCCAAAGGAAATGAAACCTCTCAAATGTGGCTAAGCCTCTAGGTCCAGTAATTAGTCTGTAGATCTAATAATTAGTTTGTAGGAAATAGAAAGCTGTGACATATAAGAATCTTAAGTAGCATCACAAGGCTAAAATCAGAAAAACACTGAAAAAATATGTACGATGAATGACTTGATACGGTAACAAAAAACTGCAAGAGGGGCTGGAGCAGTGGCTCAGTGGTGGTGAGCACTGGCTGCTCTTGCAGAGAGCCCAGGTTTAGTTCCAGCACCCACATGGTGTCTGACAACTCTCTGTAACTCAGGCTCAAGGGAATCTGACACTGGCTTCTGGCTTCTTGGGGTATTCCACACATGTGGTACACACACACACACACACACACACACGTAAAACATTCATACACAAACCAGAAACTGTCAGAGTGATAGAGGTAGCTTACAGAATAAAAGATATTTTAAAGATACAAAAAGCAAGAGTGATGTATTTAAATGTTTGACTACTTAAACATGTCTAGGACAGCGGGGAAATTGGGAGCACCAAATACTTGACAATAATGGCGTGGGGAGGGAAGATGAAAATACAGTCATGCTTAAGATGGGATTCTTTCCTGAAATAATATGAACTGTTGGATTTGAGCTGATCATTGTTAGAAGCTGAGTAATGGGTATATGGAGGCATTGTGTCTCTACTGTAGTATAAGACTGATACTCACTGGGGCTGGAAAGATGGCTTAGCAGTTAAGAACACTGGCTGTTCTTGCAGAAGACCCGGGTTCGAATCCCAGCACCCATATGGCAGCTAACAACTGTCCGTAACTCCAGTTCTAGGGGATCCGACAGCCTCTTCTGTCCTCTGTGGGCATTGCACAACACGGGTGCACTTACCTACACGCAGGCAATACACATACACATAAAATAAAAATAATAAATAAAATATGAAAAACTTTTTTAAAAGAGAAAAAAGCAGTCAAGCCACAGGCATATAGATCCGTTGAGCCCACCTGCTTTCTGAGTCCCTAGAAAAGCCTAACTTTTCGGTTTTCCCTGTTTTCATCTTTTTCCTTCTTTCCTTTACCTGCCAAAACCTCTGGGCATCCTTTCCTGGACACTGTGAGCTTTGATTCTTTTTCTAAATTGTTTCCCCTTCCCCAGCATTCCAATATGTAGCTGCTTACAAACAGCCTGGCCTTTTCCTCTTTTTCACTGTCCTCCTGGCAGTTGCCAAGATTTATGGGCTTGTTTGCCCTGATTTTTTTTCATTTAAACTCTAATAAAATTATCCTTGTGCTTTTTTTATTTTTATTTATTTTTTATATTTATGTGTGTATTGCCTGCGTGTAGGTTAAGTGCACCTGTGTTGTGCAATGCCCACGGAGAACAGAAGAGGCTGTGGGAACCCCTGGAACTGGAGTTACGGACAATTGTTAGCTGCCATGTGGGTGCTGGGATTCGAACCCAGGTCTTCTGCAAGAATTAACCACTGATCCATCTCTCCAGCCCCAATCCTTGTGCTTTTTAAGAGCTAGAAAGAACAGGCATGGGGCACACCCCTATAAATTCCAACACTTGGAAAGTGGAGGCAGAAAGGCTAGGAGTTCAAGGTCATCCTAGGCTGCACATCAACTTCAAGCCCGTCTGGTTACATAAGACCCTATCTCAAAAAAACACAACAAAAAATGCCTATACTTCATTTCCAAGAGAAGAAAAGCACTTCTACTTTGCATGGCTTTTGATTTAGAGGATGGCCTCACCTCTTGCACTGGCTTTAAAGGGAAATTACTGGCTCAGATACACTTCCATGTGCACTGTCCCAGGATCCATAAATCAGGTGTGTACTTCCTCTCCAGCTATGGCAAACTGCCAATCTGAGTTGTCCACATTACCTCCCAAGACACCTATTACTGCTTCTGGTGTAACACTGCATAGACTTGTAGTGAACTGTTCTCTAACATCACCATCTTGTAAACCCTATTAATTTTAGTATGCACTGTTGTTACAACATGAAGCTTTCTCCATGTCACACAAAACATTTAGAACACATACATGGGGGGCTGGAGAGATGGCTCAGTGGTTGAGAACACTGGTTATTCTTGGAGAAGACCCAGGTTGGAATCCCAGCACCCACACAGCAGCTAATAGCTGTCCATAACTCCAGTTCCAGGGGATCGATGCCCTCTTCTGTCCTGTGGGCATTGCATGACACGGGTGCACATACATACATGTAGGCAATATACTCATACACATAAAATAAAAATAATAAGCAAAATATTAAAAACAAAACAGAAAATCCAGGTGTGGTGGCACATGCCTTTAATCCCAGCACTCGGGAGGCAGAGGCAGGTGGATCTCTCTGAGTTCCAGGCCAGCCTGGTCTACATAGTGAGTTCCAGGACAGCTGGGGCTACAGGGAGATTCTGTCTCAAAAAGACCAAAAAAACAAAACAAAAAACAAACCAGAAAAGGACCACTGTCCTTCCCCAGCCCTTACAACCTCTGGGAGCCTGACCTTCTCGTCTTCTTCCTCCTCCTCCTCACTGGACTCCACATCATCCATGTCTTCTTCTAGAGCACTAACTCGAGGCTCTAGCTGCTCAGCTTCTTCTAGCACATAGCGTTTCTGCAGAGAACATAATGTTTTAGGTAATTGCCATTTTCTCTATGCCCTAAGGCCCTACACTGAGCTTCTGGGATTGACAGAAAGTCATAGGACAATAGGTCTGAAATAATTTTATTACAGCCCAAGAGTTTCCTAAGGAGTTAACATACCTTGAATCCATATGCTCTTTTAAGTTCCCCAGCAGACAGAATGCTGGAGAGGGACAGCTCATTTTCAGCTCGTTCTGTTTCCTGTGACTTCATACTGTACTATACTGTAGTCATTGGAATGGCAGTCTTTTTGTGTAGGCAAAAATGTGAACTTTAGGGCTAGGGAGAGGGTTAAACAGTTAACAGCATTGGTGCTTGCAGGAGACCTGGTTTTGGTTCCCAGGACCCACATGGTAGCTAACAACCATTTGTAACTCCAGTTCCAGGGGATCTGACACTGTCTTCTGGCCTCCTGGCATGTGGTACACATGCATTCATGCAGGCAAAAAACTTGTACACATAAAGATAATCTTTAAAAAAATGTGAACTTCATACACACAAAAAAAATCCAAGGGTTAGTAAGCTCATGATTGAGATTATGCTGGTAGTTCCAAAGAAGAGACCCAGCCCTAGAGTCATGACACCAAACCTCTGCTAGACCCAGAATCCAGGAAGCTGCTGAGGTTCATGTTTTGAACTGGGTATAGCATAAACAATCTGCGCCGTGTTTCATTTTCTTCTAGGGTATAGCTTAGCAGTATTTGAGTGGCTAAAGACTTGAAACAAAGGTGAGCTCCAAACCTGAAATGGAGTGACTGAGTCTAAAGTCACCATTTTCTTGTCCCGAGGACATGAAGAATGTTAGGTGACCTACGTGGATGGCTGTAGAAGAGCCAGTGTTCTTTAAAGGCCACTTAGCTCTCACTTATCTTTCAACAAAAGTTGGGGAGAAATGACACAGTCATAGAATCACTAGCTTAGGATCTAGGACTGTATCATGGAGGGCATCCAGAACATTTCTTAGCAGACTCAGAAGTCTGAAGTCACTATATTATCTTAAAAGATACTAAAGTATTTGTGTCTGATGGACTGAAAATACATTCCATACAACTCCTTGCTAATGTCAGGGCAAGACATCAGTCAAAAGCTAAATTGAAGCCAGGTGCTATTGCACACAGAAACTGAGAAAGGACTGCCAGGTTGAGGCCAGCCTGGGCAAAATAGCAAGACTACTTAAAGAACAAAACAAAAATCCACAAAAACTAAAGTGATAGCCTACAGGCTGGTTACCAAGAATAGATTCAGGGCAAAAAGTAATCTTTTTTTTTTCAATTTTATTATTTTTATTTTATGTGTATGCGTGTATTTCCTGCATGTAGGTAAGTGCACCTATGTCGTGCAATGTCCAAGGAGGTCAGAAGAGGCTGTTGGATCCCCTGGGACTGGAGTTAAGGACAGCTGTTAGCTGCCATGTGGGTGTTGGGATTCAAACCCGGGTCTTCTGCAAGAACACCAGTGTTCTTAACCTCTGAGCCATCTCTCCAGCCCCCCAAAAGTAATCTTGAGTCATTTACACAGTACATAGTCCACAACTTACAAGTGATGCTACCAGCCCTATTTCAATTCTCCTCAATGGAGTGTGATGAACACTATTTCTTTTTCCTTTCTTTTTTTGCAGGGAGGGCGGGTGAGACAAGGTCTTCCTATGTAGCCCCAGCTGATCTGGAAGTAGCTATGGAGACCACCCTAGGCTGGCCTCAATCTCACAGGGAGATTGCCTGCCTCTGTTTCTCTAGTACAGGGATTAAAGGCGTGTGCTACTACACCCTACCTTACTAATAAATTCTTAAATTGTGGTCTTTCCTTCTAAACTATATACAGACTACACCACTTACTAGATTCAAATTTGCCTCAGCCTCCAGAATGCTGAGATTATACATGTGTACCACCACACTCAGCTTTTTATAATACTTCTAGACTATTAGCTACCATAATGAGGTAACCCACTAAAGATACTATGAGCATAGAGCACTGAAAGCAAGTTTTCAGTTCTGAAATTTCATTTTCTTCACTATATCCTGCAACATTAGCCAATATGGAACAAGAAAGATATACCCACCACACCCATTTTCAGGACTTTTATTTTATAGGATTGAAACTGTGTGTAGAGGAAGTGCTTCTTTACTGAATTATGAATGAGTCCTTATCTGAATTATCACATACCAGCAATCTATTCATTTCCCTACTTTTAAATTAACTTGATTGGGGTAGGGGGTGTTACAGGATCTCTGTGTATATCAGGCTGAACTGACACTTGCTACGCAGCCCAGATTGGCTTTGAACTCACAATCCTGCCTCAGCCTCCCAACTGCTGAGATTACAAATGGGCATAATCATGACCAGCCCCTTTGCCAGTTTTAAAACAGTGAGGTGAAATTTAAATAATTAAACTTTTCTAAATTAAAAAACAACTATTTTAAAGCATAAATTCATATTTTGTAATAATTACTTCCCTAGGAACAGTTGTCCCAGAAAAGCTGACCCATTATGTAGTCCTTCCTCACTCAACTCTTCCTGTATCTCATCAAACCAGCTTTTTCTTCGATTTTGCCTAGTCTAGATATATCATCTAAAAGGGGTCATACAATAGATGACCTCCAAGTTTTAAATTATTCCTTTACGTTTGTACCTAACTAGAATCTCCAAATAGATACGAGTTGCAGGTGGCATCCAAAAGGAAACATGAGCCAGGTTGAGCTGGTAAAGGTCTCAGCCTGGGGACACTGAGGCAGGACAGTTCAAAATAAGCCTAGGCAACTTAGGGAGATTCTGCCTCAAAAACAACAAATGCCAAAAATAATTGTTTTGTGAAAGGGCTAGGAAGAACCAGACATAGTTGTATACACTTATAATCCCAGAACCTGGGAGACAGAAGCAGGGAGTGCTCCAAGTTCAAGACCAGCCTGGTCTACATAGCAAGTTCTAGGCTATCCAGGGCTATATAGGAAGACCCTGTCTCAAAACCAAAACCCAAAGAGCTGGGGATATAGCCGAGTGGTGGAGTGCTGTTGAATATGCTTGAAGATCCTGGTTCAGTCCCTTGATTCCTCACCAAAACAATAAACTGAACTAAGATGAAACTTGAGTGAGTGTAGACTACAATGACGAAGGTCAGAAAGTTAGCTTCCCGAGGAAAGGGTGAAGGAATGGGGAAGAAGAAATAAAGATTAAAGTTTTTTTTTTTTGATGTGTACAAGTGTGCATTCCTGTGTGGGTGGGTATGTACATGCAAGGCAGCCATGTGGAAGTCAAAGGACAACCCCAGGTGTAGGCTCTGGGGCCCCTTTCAGCTTTTGTTTGAGACAGGGGCTTTCTCACTGACCTGGAACTTTGCCACATAGGCCAGACTAGTTGGCTAATGAGCGTCCAGAGATCTGTCTGTCTCCACCTCTTATCTGATCATCAGTGTATGTTCTGGGGAGCTGAACTCAGATCCTCAGTTGCAAAGCAAGAACTTTCCTAACTCAGCCATCTCTCCAGCCCCAAACTTTTACCTTTTTGTTTTTGTTTCTTTTTTAGAGGCAGGGTCTCCTTGTAGCACCAGCTGTCATAGACTAGGCTTGCCTTGATTTGACAAGAGATCCGCCTGCCTCCCCAATGCTGGGAATTAAAGGCCTGCACCACTACACTTGGACTCCAAACTTACTTTTTGACACAAGATCTAACTAAACTGCATAGGCAGTCCTTGAACTTGTGACCTTCTTGCTTCAGTTTCCTATGTAGCTGGAATTATAGATCTGAGCTACCGGGCCTGGCTTATTTCCTTTTGTGGTGCTAAAGATCAAACCAAGGGCTTTGTACATGCTGGATAAGTATCAAATCTTAGATGACTTTTTTTCTTCTTGGCTTTTTTTGTTGTTGTTGTTGGTCTTTTTTGAGACAGGGTCTCCCTGTAGCCCCAGCTGGCCTGGAACTAGCTATGTAGACAAGGCTGGCCTCAAATTCACAAAGATTCGCCTGCCTCTGCCTCCCAAGTGACAGGAAAGGTGTGTACCACCACACTCAGCATCTTCTCTACTTCTTGATATAGTTTTGGTTTGTTTGCCTGGCCTGGCACTGTGAACCTGCAGTAGACCCTCCTGCCTCTGCTTCCCTATGCTGGGATTTATAGGCATGAGCCACAATACCCAACTTATATGAAGACTTAAATAAAACAACCAAAAACAAACCTCTTTCACACAGCATAATTATTTCACAATGCACCTACTGTGTGTCAACAGTTCATTTTTATTGCTAAGTAACATTCCATTGTCTTAATATATCATAATTTGTCTATCTATTCACTTACTGGATTGCTTCAGTTCTGGCCTTTACAAATAAAGCAGCAATGAATACAGGTTAGGCATTCCTAATTCAAAATGCTCCAAAACTGGAAAATGTTTATGATTTTAAAACATTTTATATTTTCAGACTATGAATTCCCAGGAAGTAAAGTCTATAAATAGTTTTAAAAAATCTTTTGGGGCTGGAGAGATGGCTCAGCAGTTAAGAACACTGGTTGTTCTTGCAGAAGACCTGGGTTCGAATCCCAGCACCCACATGGCAGCTAACAACTGTCCTTAACTCCAGTCCCAGGGGATCCAACAGCCTCTTCTGACCTCCTTGGGCATTGCACGACATGGGTGCGCTTACCTACGTGCAGGCAATACATGCATACACATAAATAAAAATAGTAAATAAAATATTAAAAAAAAATCTTTTGCTCACGTTCCCATTGAATTGTGTACACACACACAAACACACACGTATGTGAGAGCAAGCACACACATAGAGGCATAAATTACAATTTCAGATATTGAAACAGGGACTGAAACGGACTGGAGAGATGGCTCAGAGGTTAAGAATACTGACTGTTCTTGCAGAAGACCCAGGTTCAAATCCCAGCACCCACATGGCAGCTAACAACTGTCCGTAACTCCAGTTCCAAGGAATCCAACAGCTTCTTCTGTCCTCTGCAGGCATTGCACGACACAGGTGCACTTACCTATGTGCAGGCAATACACTAAAATAAAAATAATAAATATTTAAAAAAAAAAAAAGAACACTGACTGTTCTTGCAAAAGACCCAGATTCGAATCCTAGCACCCACATGACAGCTAACAACTGTCCAAAAAAAAGCAGCTATGTGGGTTCTAATATTTGAGGTCATTTCCACTTGATTCTATCCTTGTCTCTAAGGCAAACCCACTTAAGGCATCTGACTGCCCCATTTTATAGATGGGGTTCTATAGGAGATCAGTTGTAACAACAGACACTTGGGCTAATTTCTTACTTGGTCACCTCCCACTATAGCCTATTCTGTTTTTCTTTAAGCTATCACATCTGTTTTGGTATTTTTGCCACAGTAGTTTTAAAGCCACAAAACACAACCTTAGCCAGGCATGGTGGTGCAAACCTATAATCCAGCACATGGAAGGCAGAGGACTGCCACAAGTTTAAGACTAGCCTGGTCTATATGGTGAGTTCCAGGCCAGTCAAGGCTACATAGTCAAGACCCTGCCTCAAAATACAAAAAAAAAAACAAAACAACAACCAAGTTACAATCTTGAAGGGTGCTTCATAGACAATCTTCACTTGAGAGAGAAGGCAGGATAATAAACAGGAAGTCTAAGGAATTAAGTGCTCACTTTCTTAGTCCTGGTTACTTTTTTTGTTTTATAGCATGGCTCACTAATTCTAAAAACACCAATATTCGAGCCAGGCATGGTGACACACACCTTTAGACCCAGCACTCAGGAGACAGCAGAAGGACCACTATGAGATCAAGGCCAGCCTGGTCTACATAGCAATAAAGGAACCTTTAGTCTATTACCTGTAACCGGGGAAGAATGATATCACAGACTCTCTCACTGTGCAGAAGTTCATCGATAAACTCATCTACATGCATCAGTTCAAACTCTGAAAGAAAAAAATCATTATAGTTTAAGCAACCTGAAAATAACAGATTTAGGTAACAAAAAATGTAAAATAATCATGAGGCTTCTTTTGAAACAGGGATTAAGAGATGAATGAGGCCGCCCCAATTAACAGAGATGGGCTGGGACACAGGTCAGTGGTAGAGCAGCTGCCTAGTACGTATGAGGCCCTCGGTTCAATTCCTAGCGCCACCACACAAAACAAACCAAAAACCCTGAATTTTAATAGGTCATTTAATTGTACTTTCTCACATGAATCCCTAATGACTGAATAAAGAACAGTTATCTTTTAGGGGTCAGTGAGAGGGCTCTGCAAGGAACAGTGCTTGCCATGCAAGTCTGATGACCCAAGTTTGATCCCCAGAACCCACAGTGGAAAGAGCATCGACTCCCCAAAGTTGTGCTTTGATTTCCATACACGCACTGTGGCACACATGTGCCACCCAATCTATCTCTCTTAATCTCTCTCTACTGCTCACACACACATTAAAAAAAAAGATGCTAAAACAAAGAATATTTATCTTTTATAACACAAAAAGTGACAGTTCTTTAGAAGCTCCGTAGCAACATTACCTCGGTTTCATGGCTCTCAACTACAGGTGACTTTGTACACTGGTATCACCCTACTCAAAAGAGTGCTACTTGGCTGGGCGTGGTGGTGCACGCGTATCTCTGTGAGTTCAAGGCCAGCCTGGTCTACATAGTTCCAGGACAGCTGGGGCTACAGAGAGACCCTGTCTCAAAAAAGACCAAAAAAATAAAAATAAAGAGTGCTACTTGTGTCCAGTGGGACACAGCCAGGGATGTGGCTAAACATTCTTCAATGCACAGAGCAAACACTTATCTAGCCTAAAATGTCAACATTGAGAAATCCTGTCCTAGTTTAACATAATGTCTTTAGTAACTCACACCATAATGGCCAAGGCTATTTCCATCTACTTACCATGTTACTATGGCATAACATCTGGTTTATTAATAGTACTTAATACATATTGGCTCAATGAGTAAATAAGTTAATAAACGCTTAAAGTATATTGCAAATAGAGCATCCCTAAGCCAAAATTCCTAAATCTGAAATTTTCTGAACAGGGATATGGCACTCATAATTTTGTTATTTTGGAGATTTGAGATTCCTGTATTGGGGATGTTAAACTGGTAAAGTTTATACAATGATACCAACTTCAAAGGCTTATTTTTGAGGGCCGGGGATGCAGCAGTGGCAGAGTACTTGCCTCACATACCTAGGTTCAATCCCTAGTACTGGCCCCCAACACACACAAAAGCTGGGTGTGACAGTACCTGTAATGACAGGAGAATCAGGAGTTCAAGGCCATCCTCAGCCACACAGAGAGCCAGCCTGGGCCTCTTGAGACCCTTGCCCCTGCCTCAAAACAAAACAAAAGGCGTATCTTTGTAAAGGTATGTAGCTACCCCCTTGGCTAATATTAATATTTTCCAGGGGGGTCCCTATGAGTAACATAGATTGACTTAATCTACATACTATGGTAGAGAATACAATTCTAGAGAAGCAAGCAATAGTACAAAATTGTGACGATTCAGAAACTGACTTTGGGCAGGCTAAAGCAGGTTTTATGAACCATTCTGGAGCTTCTAGATCTCATGGATGGAGCATGTGTGGAATACGTATCCGATGTCAGGCAGTGCTTACATAAAATACACCTGCAAAGGGAGGCAGACAGGTGCCAACTTGGCTAAGGCTCCCACTGAGAAGGATGGAAGACCTGGCTGTAGACGATAATGCAGATGAAGAGAAACATTTAGTGTAGGAGAGCAGAGATACAGTGAGGTAAAAATGGCTCAGAAATAATGGTCCAGAGACTCGCATCATACTTACCTCCATTCCGATTCTGGCTCTTGATTTTTCGATAGTCATTGTACAAAGGCTCTAAGTACTTGTAGCAATCAATTGCAGTTCCTGTCAGCCTCATGTAAAGTGCCCCCAACATGCGGACATACCTAACAAAGACGTGACAGTGAGACAACAGGTCATCCAAGACGTTTCAGAGTTTTACAACTGGTTTTTCTCAGGACAGTAGCAAATAAATAGGCTCTTTTCTCCTCCTCATCAGATGAGAATGTCATAATTCTGAAGGTAGCAGAGAGCAGAAGATGGTTTAAATATGGAGACCTGGGACTGGAGAGATGGCTTGGTGGCTCCAAGAGTTCCGTGGTTCTTGGCAAGAGTGCTGTTTGACAAAGTTCCAGCCGAAAGCCGGTGAGCACTGCTCTTTTGGTGGAAATCCCTTCCCCAGTCACTCCTGGTTTTTATAATTGGTATAACCTTCTCTTCTTTAAGTATTCTGATAACCAACTCTGATGATGGAATGGGAAACTAAACCAGGGAAATCTCTGCCTTTAGCAGAATTATCATGTTACTGAAACAAAATGAAAAAGATAGAC